CGTTTTTGGCAATCCATTGGATACTGAAATGGTATCCAGTTATTAAAATTTACATTTTCCTTATACTTAGTGAGGTTAGGACTCTTTTTATATCTTCGTTGGCCATTCAGGTTTTCTTTTCTGTTGACTGTTTACATCATTTGCCCATTTTTCTTACTTTTTCTTTATTTTTAAAGACCGTGTCTCACTTTGTTGCCCAGGCTGGAGTGCAGTTGCTATTCACAGGCAATCATAGCTCACTGTGGCCTTGAACTTCTGGCCTCAAGCTATCCTCCCAATTAGCTGGGATTATAGGCACCTGCCACCGTGCCTAGCATTGCCCATTTTCTATTGGGTTGTTATCTTTTCCTTATTGCATTGTGGAATTCTTTATCTATCTAAATACTATCTTTTATCCATCATATCTCGGATTATATTAATAATCTATTTGGTTTTTTAAATTTGAAAACATTACTTTAATAAAACCTATCCATGCATATGGGAAACAACAAAATAAAATGGTACAGAAGAGTTTGTGACAAAACACAAGCCTTCTGCCCTACCTCCCTCTTCACATCCATGTCAGCTCCCCAGAGGCAAAGTCTTGGTACCATTTGTGTTTCTAATTTTCCTGATCATTTCTTCCATAACACTGAAAAATATGCTAATACTTCTGTATCCTAATTACCAGCTTTTTTTTTTTTCCCCAGAGACAAGGTCTCCCTGTGTCACCCAGTCTGGAATGCAGTAGTACAATCAGAGCTCTTGCAGCCTCCAAGCTTCTGGACTCAAGTGACCCTCCTGCCTTAGCCTTCCAAGTAGCTGGGACTACAGGTGTACACCACCATGCCTGGCTAATTTTTAAAAATTTTTTTGTAAAGATGATGTCTTACTTTGTTGCCCAGGCTGGTTTCAAACCCCTGGCTTCAAGTGATCCTTCTGCATTGGCCTTCAAAATTGCTGGGATTACAGGCATAAGCCACCATGCTCAGCCCTGATCACCAACTTTGGACAGTATCTCTTCATAACATGATAGGAAAAGGAAGTACAGCCACTGTTTTTAGCCCCACTTCTTATTCTCACAATTCAACACACTGGCTGGCTGTAAACCCAGAGCCTTCAGCGTTTCGATACCGCCCAGCAGCTCCCCTGCTGCATATTCTAGGCAAGGATTTCTAGCACCTGTATCATCCATCAACATGCTCCCATCTCTTTCGTGTCTCTCTGAAATTTGTTGAAATTTCCTATATTTAATAACATCTTCTCCTTTTATCTTAAATATGGTTTTGTTTGCTTATTTGCTTATTGCTTTGTACTTCACTCTATTTACTAGGTAGCAATGATGAAAGAAGGACAAATGCATTTACTCCATTCAACTGCTATACATAGAAATTACCAACTATAGCCCAGAAACCTGTTACTTTTTATAACCTGATTATAATTTTTCACACTTTGAATATTTAGAGACTTCTAAATTACATTTTTGTGTGGCTCAAATTGAACACTTAGGGGCAAAATTAGTTTTTAGATATTTTTTGTAGTCTTTCACAAGCAACTATTGCTGGACTACCTACTAGGTCCAGGGGTCTCTGTTAGTTGAGAATTTTGAACAAAAGCATGGAACCTATTACTTAAAGTAAATTCCCTCTGTATAGCCCTCATTCAAACTGGGTTTGGGATTTATTATCATTGTGTGGAAGAATAGTGTTTTTCTCTGCCCCGAGCCTGAGAGACCAAAGCCCATCCTTCCCGTTACACATCCCCAAGATTAGGCTAGAAATTTACTTGAATGACGAAGAGTTTTATTGAATTTTCACTTCATACTCAATTTCCTTTTAAGTTAAAGGAAGAATAGCCAAGAGAAAAAGAAGACTTTTATATATAGAAAATAACAGCTGTGCATTGTGAAACCTGTGCAGTTTTGAGTGAGAAGCATCAATCTTCTGAAATAACTGAAGTCATATTTTGGTTCTGCTATCTGGTGATTGGTGTTCTCTAAGAGCTAAAGCCTGACTTGGCCAGTTCCTCTGATACAAACTGAGGTCTGTTTCTTTCTCATGTTATGATGATATCATCTGAATATAAGATATATATGCATGAATATGAGTATGAAACACCTTTTAAGGCACTTGTAACAATAATGACTTAGAGGAAAAAATGTTCAGTACAATTTTATGTAATTCACCAGATACTCACTGTGGTTATTGCTGGGTAAAGAGATTGCATGTAATCTGTATTTTCTTTCTGCTTGTCTATGTTTTCTACAATGAATGTGTGTTTTCTGAACTAATACAAAAGTTTTATTTTTTTTAAGGCAGAACACTTACATGATGCTGTTATTGCTACTGAGATAGTTCTCTGCTGTACTATCTTAGTTTTGGACAGTCTCAATTTAGTATCTCGTCATCTGAGAAACTTTCCTTGCCTAGCGCAGATAAATGTCCTGCTGTCTGTCACTAAGCCTACAGGGTTATTAGTATTTTATGGAGGCCATTGGTCATTCATACTTACTAAGCATCCCATGTGCTGCATTCTGTGGGAAAGTACAAAGACAGGTATATGTGGAAAAATATCCAAAATGGGGACCCCCTTTAAAAGAAAGGTCATTGTCAACTTTCGAGAGTTTATGTATCAATCCATCAAAACAAATGTGATGGGGTCTGCTGTGCACGGGGTGGTGTGCTGGGTGCTGCACACATCTCAGAGGGGATTGATGTAGCACCAACACGGCTTCCAGGAGCTCATGGTCATATTGGGAAGATAAAGGTTGAATATGTGAAAATAATGTTTAAAAAGAGAGCGAGAGGAAGAAATAAAAGTTAAGGATAGTCCAAAATCTGTCACAAAACTAGAAATTATCACCTAATGACTGATGCAGGTTCTAAATGTTATCAGAAGGGAGAGACCACCATGAGCCTGAGCAGGCTGCCAGGACTGCATGGAAGTGGAAGGCATTGAGCTGAAATTGGAAGCTAGAAGGCATCTGAGCTTAAGAATGAACTTTAATTTGCATAAACAATAAGAACTTAATCTTGATCACACATTTGGGGGTCAGCTGGAATGACTTTTCTTAAGCTATGAGTCTTCAGGTAGAAGGGAGTGGCTTATTTGGGGACCCAGGCTAGATATAGGGGTAATGGCTACTATGGTATGTTTTCTCATAATGATGACTGAAGCAAAAGTGGACAAGCTCAACAGTATAGGCGCTTGTTCAGTGATATCCCAGGGGCCAAAGCAAGTTAGATATGAAGCCTGAAGTTAAGGGATAGGAAAAGACACACCTACCATGAATGTCCTTGGCCCTGAGAACAAGGCAAGGGTATACATGTGAAACACCACTATGGGATAATGCAAGATTAGGACTAATAATAATTTAACCTACCATACCCACTTCCATGTATGTATTTATTCTGATACTCATCCATCTACTTTACAAATATAGGGGTGTGTGTGTATATACACAGATGCACAGGCATATATATAGATATAAAATATACATATGGACACAAAGACACATGTACACAGAGGATAAAACATGTAGCTATGTGTAAAAATTCTTTAGAAAACATGAAAATGGGATAACATATGGAAGCAGGGTGATAAGCTAAAAAGGCTAGTGGCATAGGCCTGGCATAAATTAAAAGGTCTTGGAATCTGTTACATTTATTGAAAAACACCATAAAGAGCAAGTATAAAAGCATTTCAGGGGCAAGACTAACCAAAATTTGATGATAACTTGGACCTTGGAAACTTGGAGAAAGGGACAAGGGCAGAGGTGGGGGAGGGGAGTGCAGGTCACAGAATTGCGGGTAAGGTGGAGTGAATGAGAAGATTAAAAAATGCCCACAATGCTGTGAGCCTAGGGAACTTGAGAGAGGTCATTTGTAACACTGACCAGGAGAGAATTTGTGAAGGGTAACTTGAAGAGTGGTCTTAGCATGGTTAGGTTTCAGGTATCAGCAAACATCAAATTGGTTATGTTCTCCAGATAACTCAACTTTGGTGGTATGTTGAGACAGGAACGCTAATTAGCTTTGTTTGTGACCATAAACAAATTTCTCATGTCTCTTCCATCACTTAAATTCTATAGTCTTTTGACCTTTGTTGCGACCTGCTGTTGGAGCAATATGAACAAAACATTTACTGAAGAAGCTTAGATAGAGAGAAAAGAACAAGACTGTATGTCAGGGATCAAAACGACGTCCTCCATATACATGTTCTTGGTTGGCATAGGGTTATTGTTTTTGTTATTCCTTTTGAAATTCTTTTTTATTCTTCTTTTTTAAAATTTGAGACCCTATAAGCTGGATATACTTCTCTAGTGCAACCACAGACCCCACTAAACCCTCTTATCTTAGATCTACCCACTTCACACATTAAATCTAGTCCTGGAAGACACTGAGATTTTGATCACTTCTCTTAGTATTAGGGCTTATTGATTGCTGGTGGGAAGATGGAAAATATTCAAGGAAAAGCAGAAAAAAACAAAGGCAGCTGAGCACTGAACCACAAACCTCAAGATTAAATGACATTTTACACAATTACTAAAGTTAGCTGACTGGTCCAGAAAGCTGAAAATCAAGCTTGTTAAAATCTCTGTTAATTCTAACTTGACTAGATTTTGGACTCTGCCAAGAGTAGAAATAATGTCTATTCTATGTTCTGAAACTTTATCTTACAGTGAGAGTACAGTGCTACACTCTTCAGGTTTAAAGAAAGAGCTTTATAATCTTCAATTTCAAAACAAAGAAAGGGTGAGAAGGGTGTGGAGACAAGAAGAAAAAGAGAACAAAGGATTAAAAGTTACCTCACGATTCCAGATAATAGAGTTTTTGTTTAGAATAACCAGATGAAACATGTTTTTTCGTACACTTACCACCTTTCTAGAAGCAGTGAGAAAGTTGAAAATAGGTCTAGTATGTGTGAGTATATTTAAGACATATCTTTTTCTTTTATTAACTAGTTTCTCTAGCTTAATTGTCTCTCATAACACGTTTTCTTCTGTTCAACCCCTTCTGCAGAAATGACTTGCTAATGGTGTGTCGCCAATTGAATATGGAAGAGTCTGTGGTTGAGATCATGAACCAATTGGGAGCAGATGAAAATGGGAAGATTTCCTTTCAGGATTTCACAAGATGCCGCATGCAGCTCGTTCGAGAAATTAGAAAGGAGGAAGTAGACCTTTCTACAAAATCAGACAACTCATGTACAAAGAAGCTCAGGGACAGAATTGCTTCCTGGCCCACAAGCAGTGACAACAGTTTGGGTAGGTATAACCAGGTGGCAGTTTTATGGCACTCCACTGGACTTGCCTATGATCTCTCTAAATGAGAGTAGCCTCCCCAGCCTGGGGGCCAGCTCATACTGAGGCTGCCTTCCTAGCCACACTTTCTCTAGGGGAGTGCTCACTGTTTCCCCAAGTTCTGTCTGATGACTTCACATTTCCCAGCTTGCTGCTTTCTTTATTTTGCTTCTTCCATGTTCCAGGTATAATAACACATTCAAATAGCTATTACGGAGGAAGGGTAAATGCATAGGAAAGGTAGCAAATGCATCAGCAGCTCTCAGAAACTCTTTGGGGAAGAAGTTTCAAAGTTACATGAAGAGGCTTTTAAAATCAATTTTTTTAAATTTAATGTTAAAATTGCTTTCTATAAAGGTAGTTTTTCTGTACATAAGTTTATATTTCTTACTGGTGCAAGATAAGGAGTTGGAAAGAAAGTTCTTAATACTGTTGATAATTATTGAAATTGGATGATAGAAACATGGGGTTTCTTATACATATTTTTGAATACTCAGTTATATGTATTTTTTAGTATGTGTGAGATTTTACATAATAAAAAGTTAAAAAGGAAAGAAAGGAGACATCTTAAAGGGTAGCCTTAACAAAGAGACAGAAGAAAGTATATGAATTTTCAGGGATATTTTTTCTTCCTTGAAAATGTGTCTTTGATCTCTTTTTCCATTTGTTTCTGTGCTAGGTAGATCTAGTGGCAAGAAGTAAAGCTTCATGTTAGTTTCCATCATTTGTTTCATATATGCATATATATATATACACACACACACAAGTGAGCATGGATAATTATATAGTAATATGCATATATGCATATATATATACAGACACACACATCTTTAAACAGCGCTTCTGACAGTGAAATCATTTGGGCCATTATTATTGAGTAATGGAAACAATAAAAATGTCCACATATACTGCATGCCTTACTACCTTCATAGATTCTACTCTGGCAGCAAATAGAATGTCTGGTAATGCATGTGCTCTCAGCATAATATGTAGAAATATTTAATATTGAAATAACTTTCTGAGTATTCAACTAATGTATGTTCATTATAGAAAAACAAAGGGGAAAAAGGCAACCAGAAGAAAATAAAAATCATCCTAATTCTGCCACCTGGAAGTAATAACTACTGCCTACATTTGGCAAACTTACTTCTGGAGTCTCTTCATCTCTCTCCTTCTCTCTCTTGTCATGTGTGAGATTTGTGTTTTACTAATTTTTTCACATACCTTCTGTATATTTTGTATCTTGCAGTTTTTTTTTCCATTTTCTTCATGCTTTTAAATGGTATTTGAAAGCATGATTCGTTAAGTTTGCATGACACAAAATAGACACTCAGTAAATATTTATTAAATGATGAAATGAAGGAATTTTTTCTGCTAAGCTATATTATCAGATTTTTCTGCCAAGAACATGGATTTCTTCTATAAACACATAAGTGTACACATATACATATTTGAAGGGTTAAGTAAATTGTGGAACACCCCAATAATTAAATACTGTATAGCATTAAAATAATATAGAAGAAAAATTTTTGTGGAAAAAAATGTGTTTGTTAAAATATATTTTAATGTGTAGAAGATATTTATAAAAATCCTAAAAGGAACTGGTGTGAAAGAATTGCTGCACACATCTAATTGGTTTGACCAGCTTGTAAGACTGTCCTGACCAGAGAAAGGATTGAGAAACAATACCCTTTCATCCTTTTATGTAACCTTATACCCTTGGGAAAAGAGGTGGTAACTGACAGGAGGCGATTCATAAAACATGTCCTGAACTGAGGAAGTGCCAGCAGCTGTGAAACCTCCTACCACTTTCTCCTGGTAGTTAAGAGTTCAAAGTCTGATTATTTGAGTGAGAATCCTAGTTCTATCACTTACTGTCTACATGACACTAGACGAATCATTTAACCTTCCTGTGTCTCAGTTTCCTCAAGTGTAAAATAAGGGCAGTTACCATTATTTGGGAGAATGAAGGAGCTAATGTATATGTAAATTCCACAAAGCAATGTCCAGCACGTGATCACTAAATACGTGTTAAACTAATATTGTTATTATTATTGCCACCCAGTTTTAAGTCTTGGGGATTTGGAAAACAACCCCCTATTCAGCCTAATTTAAATCAAATACATCTAAAATTTGACACTAATTAGGCTGGGCACCATGGCTCACACCTGTAATCCCAGCACAGGTGGGAGGATCACTTGAGGTCAAGAGTTTGAAACTAGCCTGGGCAACATACAAAAAATTTAAAAATTAGCCAGTGGTGCAGTGGTGCATGCCTGTTGTCCTAGCTACTTGGGAGGCTGATGTGGAAGGATTACTTGAGCCTAAGAGTTAGAGGTTGCAGTGAGCTATGATTACACTCCAGCCTAGGTGACAGAGCAAGACTCTGTGTCCAAAAAAAATGACAATAATTAAACAAAGATAAATGTGTTCAATTAGTCTTTCATTATGTATATGTTCAATTAGTCCTTCTCTTTTCCATGCCATTAATATCTCCTGACTCTCTTTAAACTCCAGGAACTCCCTTCTGGGGGTGGAGGGGAGCCCTGTCTTGACTTTGTGTCCCCGTTAGTATGGCCCTATTTCTCTGACTCTTCCTTCAGTGCACTCTTACTGTCTTCAGTCCTTACCACTCTGCTGGCCCTGCTTTTGCTGCCTCCATGTTGGCCAATCCAGTGGTTCCTTTTCTGCCCACATCTAAATCTTTGGAATTTGACCCAGCTGACCATTCCTTCATGCTAGCTTCTGTTGGACTTCTTAACACCATGTTCTCCTGTTTACCATCTTGGCTTTCCTTTCTCAGCCTATACTACTTCCAGATTTTGTGGTGCCTTGGGGTTACATTCTCTCCTTAGATGATTTCATGGATTTATTGACTTATTTATTTATTTGAGTCAGGATCTCACTCTGTCATCTAGGCTGGAGTACACTGTTGCAGTCATGGCTCCCTGCAGCCTCAACCTCCTGGGCTCAAGTGATCCTTCTGCCTCAGCCTCCCAAGTAGCTGGAACTACAGGCATGCGCAACCAGGACCTGCTAATATTTTGTATTTGTTTGTGGAGATGGGGTTTTGCCATTGTCCAGAATGGTCTCAACTCCTGGAGCCATCTTCCTGCCTCAGCCTCCCAAAGTGCTGAAATCACAGGCTAGCACCATCATGCCCATATATAATTTTTAAATCTTTTATATGTTGCCCAAGCTAGTTTCAAACCCTTGACATCAAGTAATCAGGTTAAATTGACAGGTATTCCTAGATATCATGCCTATATATATATATATATATATATATATATATATATACACACACACACACACACACACACACACACACACACATATGTATGTATGGGCAGGGCTATATATATATAGCCCTGCCCTTTCCCATGATCTCAAAACAGGTTAAATTGACATGTATTCCTAGATATCTTATAAACTTCCAACCTTAACACAGTGAAAAAGAACTTTTGATTTTGTCCCCTACTTTTTCTCCCAGGCTTATTAGCCTCTCAGATAACCTTTACATAGGAAATATCTGCATTTAGTAAACATCTGCATCTAGGAAATATTCCTGTCCACCTTCTTGCTCAAGCTGGCAAGTCCCACTGTTTTGCATGCCCAAGTATATCCAGGATCCGCCCACTTCCTTTGCTCTTCGGCCATCACCGTGTCCAAATCAACATCATATCTTGCCTTGCCTACTAAAATCATCTTTATCTGTCCTCCCTGACTCCTCCCTTGGCTCCTTACATTTCATTTTCTACCCTGTAGTCATAATTATCTTTTAAAGTTATAAAATCATGCTTAGTTCAATCCCATGTCTAAAACATTCTGTGGCTTCCATATCTTCTTAAAATAAGGTCCAAATTCCTACCACGATGTGACACATACCACCCACTCTCAGTTGATCTCATCTTGCTCCTCTGACTACCGTGTTTGTCACAGTCACACTGGCCTTCCTGCTTTTCCTCTAATCTAGCAAACTCAGCCAGTCTCCCGCCCTTTCCAACATCTTCTTTCCAACATGCTCATTGCTCTTTCCTTTTATTCAGATTTAAGCTTAAATAGTTCCTCTTCAGAGAGGCCTTTCCAAGCTAAAGCAGCCTCTCCTCCTTTCCTTGTTCACATGCCCTTACTGCTTCATACCACTTACCATTATCTGACATGAGTTTGTACCTACTTGAATATTTACTTATCTGTCTTTCCTCATACAAATAGATTTCCACTGGATAACTAATGGCCTGGATTGTCACGTTTACTGCTATACTCTAGCACTTAGAACAGTGCCTGGCACGTGGAAGATGCTCAGTGCATGTTTGTTGAATGAATGAATGAGCAATGCACTGTCATGCTCCTCTAGGGACACAGGGAAGTGCAGTACACAGTTCCAGACACTAAATAACTTATGATATGATTATGGAGACATAAGCACATGACAAATTAAGTGGCAATAAGCTTTAACAAACTTTAAGCCATTAAAGTTGCAAGTTAATGAAATTTGGGAAGCCATTGAATGGTACAGAAGATATGGTCTGCTCTATAAGGGGAGCTAAGAAATACTGTGAACAGGAGTTTCAGGAAAGATTACCTGTGACTGTAGGCTGGAGAGAAATAGAAAAAGTGTCATACTGTTGTGAGAAAAGCCGAAGAAAAACTTAGGTTTAATACTTAAGTGTCAGAAGAACTTTATTGTCAGCCTTGACATTTCACAGCACATTCACGGCAGGGAGTTGAGTTGGCAGAAAAAGAAGACTTGTCAAAACATTACATGCTCAACTTGGAAGAGGAATTTCGATAGATTCATTTTTCCCAAGTGTTTTTTGCAGAATATTGATTTAAAGAGATGGCTACAAATATTATGTGAAGAAAGAACTTCTTTGTCAAGTACATGTGAAAACTTTGGGTTAAACTAAATTATAGTTTTCTTTGCTGCAAGACATCTTGGAGCATTTAATATGCTATTGTTT